AGGTAACGGAAATTATAAAAAAATACAGAATTTTCATTTTAAATTTTTTTTTAACAAAATGTTCGGCTTTGTATTAAATTACTCTTATTCAATCTTATTAAAACTTAGATCACAGCATTTCTGAACACTTGCAAGATTCTTAGACAATTACAAAAAAAAAATATTCGATAATTGTTTATAATATGTAAATAACAGTTAGCACCATAATTTGTGAAAAACAAATAGAGTGAAAAATGATAAACTCACCCGCAGTATCTAAAATTATTAGAATAAATAGAAATTCTTGGTAGAAAAAACATTTTTTATGACGTGAAGCTGATCGATGGTCTGCTTCGTCTTTGCAGATTCGATGTCTGCATTTTGTGATGTCACATAGGAGAAATCTAACACTATTAAACTGCAAACGACTAACAAAAAGGTAGTCGAAGCTTTGAAACAATTTTGTATTAGGTACGAGCTTTATCGTGTGGGAGTATCTGATATTATACTTCCAAAGTTACGAGCCTTTTCATTCATCATCAAAACAGCGCCTGTGCAAACTTTCAATTCGTGTTCACAAATTATTTAAAAGTTAAATTACCTTTAGATTTTTAAAGCATTCTTGTTTATAATTAAATGAATAAAAAATTGCTAGTTGCTTGTCAATTTGTAATGAATGTATTATATTGAAACGTTTTCTATCGGAAACCATTACTTATAGAACAAAAATTTTAGTTAATGAGCTATAATCTATTTTGTTTTCCTTCAACATATCTTCCGATTTTTTTAATCAATTTATATTACGCGCGATAATCAGTAAATCGGACACACTACGTTTGGCAACGGTGTAGACAAAATCAATACCTTTCACCATTCGAACTACTGTACAAAAGAACTAATAACCTATTATGAAAACTTGTGAAAATAAAATGCAGTGATGGCTGAATTAATTAATTTAATATAACACATAATACTATTGCATAACAAAACAAATAAACAGTTCATCTTATTCTTCCACCTTTTCTTTTAGTGTATTCTTATAAGTCCTAAGATGTTGAATGTCACTGCAGTTTTGATGTAATTGCACTTGCAAACTAGCACATTTTGCTATCCAAACTATAGCCTGCCTAAATTTTGCTTGAGCTTGATGAAGATTCTGAGGAACTAATACACCAAACCACTTTATCGGATTTACTATATTGGAATTGCCATGTGCAGTGTCATTTTTGTATTCTAAGTCAAATACATTATCTTTTGTGAGGTCTTCACTGTCACGATTAACTACAACTAACGGATCTATATTTGTACTATTTTCGGTAGGTAACTGCAGGGCTGAAACTTGATTGTGTCCCATAATGTATCTTGCTTTTGCCAAGTGTAGCTCTCCATCGCTCATTGAATTTTCTACACAAACTTTTAATCCAATTGTTTCTTGTATTAGTGTTACGGAATCTAGAGTTAATTTATCTAGTATAGTGCATACTTTATCTAGTTCCGTCTCCATATTTAGCGAAGTAATTTAGCATAAAACGTTCAACCACATTAAATTATAGCACTACTATTTAACTGATAATAATGACTGGAATTTTTATTTTTTTGCCACTTCACCCAATTAACAACTGCATTAAAATGTGAAGGTAAATAAAGTTAGCCTACACGACCATTACATAAGCACGTGACAAGTGTGCGCGATTGCCACCTCGAATTTACTACATGAATGTTCATTATTTTCGATTATTTTCACATTTTTACATATAGAATTTTTACATACAATTATTAGTTGCTACATTGTTTCATATTTAATCGTAGTGTCGTATTAAATTTTTTAATTATGATTTAATTGGTTTTTAGTTTTCATCTTTAGTGGATGTCGACAATTGATACCAGTCTAGAGTGCCAGTCAGTGTGCATCTTTGGTGTGTATGATGGACGTCGTTAGGAAATAGCATTTAAAGGTAGGTGACTGCATGTGCTTCATTGTTTTAATTATCTATGGTTTTAATAATGCATGATAAATGTATTAATTGGTTTTTTAACTGAAATCAAGGGAACAATTTTATCATAATTTTCTGTTGGAAGTTTGTTATAAAGAAATTATCAATTTATAACTTAATTCCAAGGAAAAATGTTAAGAAATTATTAACATCAACAGTATGAATTTGTTAATAAAACAGTGGTTCAGCAAGATAAAAAGAAAACTTCTTTAAACGTTAATACCATAATTTTCTGTTGGAAATTTGTTATAAACAAATTATCAATTCTTAACTGAATTCAAGGGAACAATTTTAAAAAGTATCTTCATCTGTAATGTTTATGTTCACCAAGATTCTACGTAAATTTTATTTTTAATTATGTTACTTGAAAATATTGCATTAATATTTAGAAATTGGTATAAGTCGTCAAAATATTCTGTTAGTGTTGTAGTAGTTTTGTTCGGGTATTTTTGTTAACGGTGAATCGGTTTCTATTTACGAATTGAACTGAGTTAGTATAATGGAACGCACCTATAAAACCTGTAATCTATGTCTCATAAATATCGAAGGAAGTATTATCATCTTTGGATCTTCCGACGATCTCGCTTAATAATGATGATGTCATTTTGTCTTCGTTCTTCCGGAATACGAGTCAACTTTTTTGGTACCCGTAAACGAAGACGACGCCTGAAGGTATTTAGCCCTAATTGTTTTTCGGTTTTCATTTGATTGTGGAAGACTTTTTATATTTAGTAATTGATCGGGTTTGTTTAGTGTTGTATAAATTTTTTTGGTGTGAACGACTTCGGTGGCGTGCTGGTTTCGTATTGCAACATGGAATTCTATCTTGGCATGCTGCTTGTCTACTCATTTACTGTAAATTTTTAGATTCTCCGTTTATTTAAGGTCGATGAATTACGATTTTTGAAAATAGTTTTAGGCGATGACTATCGATTTTTCATATTGATGACCACGTCGTGAAAAATTTCTTTCGTTTTATAGCTAAAATCATTAACAAAAACATAGTGAACATATAACTAATATTAAGTTGTTTTAACAGAATAATAAATGAATATGGAGACAGTGGATCAAAAAGGCTTGAAATATGGAAAAGCAGAGTCCCACTCATGTTATTCTCTTAAGATTGGAAAAGATCCATTTGTGGAACGAGTAAGAAATCGTTAATTATTTTCTGAAGTTGCATTTGTAGTTGTGATTTTCTTCTTCTGAATTGTAATAATTAATGACAGAG